AAATATGATATATATTTTAAAATAAATTATATTTTTTTTATTAACTTGATTATTTATTAATATATTTATATTAAAATAATTGATAAAAATAAAATAAAAAATTATATTAATAAAATTAATTTTTATTTTAGATATAATAATTTAATATATAAACTATAAGATAAAAATTAAAAATTTATTTATTATTATTATTACTATTTTAATAATTTAAAATTATAATTCATTTTAATTGAAATAGTAGAATTAGAAAAATAATTTTATATTTAATTTTAAAATAGATAAATTTTTATTGAATTAATTTATAATAAATATGTATTAATAAAATATTTTATTTTATTTTATTTTATTTAAAATTTATTATTATTTAATAAAATCGATCCATTTATAAATTTGACTAAAATTTACATAAAATTGAATAAATCTAATTCAATTTAATACAAAACTATCATTAATAAGATCTAATTTATTTTTTATTTATTGAACAAATAAATAAAAAACTTAATAGTCTAATCATGTTATGTCTTTATTATCTTAATGTCCCAAATTTAATGGTGAATTACATGTATGACTGGATATTATGCTTTTATAGATATTCATGAAATTTAGAGTTATAGTCTTAGGTATTTGAATTTAAACTACTTTTATGAGAAAATTTCATTTATATATCATAATTTTTTTTTAAATGACATTCATATTTCTTTTTTATTTTAAAATAGATATTGTACATTATTAATAAAATAAATTTCGTAATCGTTATTTTCTATGTTGTTACTTATGCTTTTAACATAATTATACTTATATTAAAATTATATTTAAATATAATAATAAAATAATAAATTTAATCATACATTGATGTCTGTCTCTTTATTTATTTTATATTACAACAATGTTTTCTCAAAATTATTTTTATATTTTTATCATATAGTTTGTAATTGAATCACAATAATTCATTTAGATATTTTTAATATAAAATAACTAAATTGTTTAATTTTTTATATATATTTTGTGTTTTTTATATTTTAAAAATTTAATTTTTTGTAAATTTTTATTTAATCTTTAATCAAAGTATTATTTTTAAATGAAAGAAGAGAGATAAATACCATTTTATTTTAATAATAAAAAAGATGAGTATTATTTTATTGAAACATCGATAAATTGTGTGTCTTTTAAAAATAAGAGGAAGTGTGATTCTTGTTTGATTAAAAATTTAAAAACATAAAACAAATGATAAAATATAGAAAAAATAATCCTGTAAAGAAATTGTTATATTAGTTATTGTACATAAAGTTGTCAATATGAATTTGGTTCAACGGACTAGTTTGAAAAATTCACGATAGGTTCAAGATTAAATAAAAATATTGTAAAAATAGTGCGACATAGAACAATTTTTTTGTTAAGTGTGTTTAAGTGTTCAAACTAGTTTAACTTTGGGTTTATCCTTAAACTTATGCACGGGCCTTTTTGAAAAAAAAAATAATTTCATTAAAAATTAAAAATAAAATTATTTTATAAAGTCATAAATATGTATTATAATTTATAAAACAAATGTTCAATTAAAATTAGTTTTATTAATATTACTTAATGAAATTCGTTGGTTTCATATAGATTAAATTTAACATTTTACAATTTTTTATGTTAATTTTTTTGTTATTAATTATTTGACATAAAAAAAAGTGATGATATTTTTTAATAAGTGATAAAATGAATTAGGTACGGTGCATCGGTTTATCAATTCGTCTATGATAAGATAAGACGGATTGATATGTTTTAAAAAATATTTATATATTAAAATTAAAAGGATTATAATTAAAAGTATTATTTTTTTATGTTATTAAAATATGTAAATATATTATAATTTAAATTATAAAAATCAATTAATTAAATTTAAATTATTAATTATAATTAGTTATTTTAATATATAAATATCATATTTTTCAATTTATTTAATAAAATATTAATTAATAAATAAAAATTTAAAAATTATTGATATGATTAAATATATTTTTTAAAATATATATAAAAAAAATTATTGACAAACTTGTATCTGTGACTCGTATTGATTATGGTGGGCAAGCTCATCCTACCTTATTTGTTGTGGGTCAAAATAAGACGAATTGATACATTTTGTTATCCCTATTTTTGAAATTAAAACAAACGTCCAGGTCTATTTTAAAGTTTCATCTTCCAATTGTATGAGATGATTTTCTTTTGAGCGGCAACAATGCGACAACGCGGTGAGCAATGACCTCTTTGGATTTTTTTTGCTATGGTGAGTGATGATAACATCATTATTGTGACTTATTTATGATTTTTGGAATTTCTTTCTAATGAAATTTTTTGGATTTATATATATATATATATATATATATATATATAATAAAATATGATAAAATATCAATAGAAATAATATCCTAATCATAATCATCTAAATCAAAATAATAATATAATATTTTTTCTCTTATTTTAAAAGATAATAAAAATAACTTATCATTCACATCCTTTTCTTTCGTACTATCTTCATCCGCAAATACAAGGAATATGAAAAGACAAAACGAAAATAAAACAAAGAAGAGAAAATAGAGAATCCCAAAAGAAAAAAATCCTTTTAATTACAAAATGAGAGTGTTTAAAGCATGTAATTATTGTGTCTCTTAAGAGCCTAAAGTATTTATCTAACTTCTCTAAAAGATGGAAATGAATGGGCTTAAATTTGATCCTAAATAGGTTTTACAAGTCTAATTAAAAATTACAATTTTGTATATAAAATTTTTCTATTTCTATTAGAACTTCTAAAACTTATAAAACATATCGTCGAATTATAAATTCTACATTACATATATACAAATAAAAGCCGGGAAAATTAATAATATATTGAAATAAGAATTAGTAAAAAAAAAAGACATCTACAAAAAATGATATGTCCAAAAAAAGTAAAAAATTATCAAATACAAAATTAAAATATTTATTCAAAATAAGTTTAATTTATTACAAATCATAAAAAAGTTAGAAAATACAAACAGTAAGATATAGAAAAGTAATTAGAAGATATAACAAAAACTCTTAATGTGAATACAAAATATGAGGAGAAAAAACTTAAAAAGTAAATCTATCCAATAAAAATATTTAAGTGAAAAGTCACATAATATCAAATATTTCAAACGAGTATAAAAAAATATCAGAATATATATATTAAGATTTATCCAAAATATGTATGATATATTTTATTTTGTCTAGAATCATGTCGATGTAATATGTAAAAAGGGAAACATGTAATATGTTACCTACACTATAATGTGAATCAAGCAAAAAGAAAAAACTTACAAGTCAAATATTTAAACTAAACCATTGAAAAATATCTAAACATACCAAAAATAAGATATTATGTAGAAAAGAATATCAAAGGGGATACTTTTCGTCATAAAAAAAACAAAAATTTAGTCATCTACTTAGTTTTAATTTGGAAAGGATATAAAAGTTAATCCTTTATGAATTTATTCCTAATAAAAGTATTTATGAATTCATATTTGGCAGGCTTAAATACTAGGAAAAGTAGTCTTTTTCATTTCTATCTATTGGTTTATTTCCGTTTCATGAAAAAGATTAGCAACTATACATACACAGATTCATAGAGAGGTTAAACAACTAAATAGTTTAAGACATTCATAAATTACAAAATGGTTTAAGAGAAATCTTGTTTCCCAGTCACCCACAGATTATGAACCACAGAGTGACATATCAGTTCTTCAACTTCTTGCATCAATTACAAATGAACATGGTTTACATGGAGCGGAGACATGCGGGGCTGGAAGTACTCATGTGATAGAGCATAGAGCGTGAGTCATGAAAGTTTAGGTCTGGGATAAATGCTATTATATATACGGAGTGAGAAATGCTACTTACTACACGGAGTGAGGATATGATATTAATAAGAGGGAAATCAACCTAACTCACATGATATGGGACAAAACAAAAAATATTTTAATATTTTACACTTTCAAATATTTTAACTTTTAAAAAAATAACCATTAAATCCATCATTCTCGTCTCACTAATTTTAACTTTTATTTTTTTAATTTTGACCTAATTAAACGCGGAGTATTATTTGACGGAGGTATGCTATTAAATAATTCATTTTTCTTAAATATTTTTATTTAATTATATAATAATAATAACTATAAAAAATTAAATTTTTATTAATAAAAAATGTTAGATATAATTTGATTGATTGTGGTCCTATATCTATAAAATATATATGTATTGTGTTGACAGTTCGTATTAATAAAATATTCGAAACTATGAAGTATTAACGTGCACGTTATTTAAATGTTACAATTTTTAAATTATTTATATTTAATAAAAAATTTAAAAAATATATGTATTTATAAAACAGAATTATATAAATATTAATTTTCATAAATAAAAAAATTATTTTTATAAAAAGTTTTAAAAATTAATAAAAATATAATCTTTCTATAGTTAAATAATAGAAATATTTTACAATGATAATTGTTTATATTTTTTATTTTTATAATATTTAAAAAATGTGATTTGAAATTTGGATTTAAATTTTATAATTATTATATTTCATAATTTTTTTATTTTTTAAATATATTTTATATGTATTATATTTTAAAAAAAATAAATATATCGTCGTAGATACTAGAATATCTTGTCCATGAATCATTCCTCGTCAATACTTTCTTTTGAAAATGAGATATCCATTTTGCAATTAAATTCTTGGGAATCCATCCATTCTGCCACTGGATTGAAAGGTGACAGTAAATACTGACAAAGATAGGAATATTTAATGTTATAATTAAATTATTCATTTTTCGATGATCATTGTAAGAAGAAAGCTAATGACTTGTCCGCAAGGAAAATTCACAAAAGACATAATTCGGTGTTACCCTCATTTTCAGAGGAGAGACGTGCTGTATACAGAGAGTGAGAAGAAAAGACTCACAAGAAGATATTTTCCAAGTAACTCTGCCTCACTCAAAATGCTGTCACTTTTGTTCTTGCTGTTAGGATTTCCTGTGATTGTAGTAATCCTCTTGAAGAATCATGGAGCCAAAAAGAAGCCATCAGGACCTCATCCACCAGGACCAAGAGGCCTTCCCATCATCGGTAATCTTCACCAACTTGACAGTTCAAACCTGAATTTTCAACTGTGGCAGTTCTCAGAGATCTATGGTCCCCTTTTCTCCCTCCAAATTGGCTTCAAGCAGGCCATTGTTGTTTCCTCTCCAAAACTAGCCAAGGTAGTCCTCAAAGACCATGATCGTGATGTTTGCACCAGACCTCCCTCGCATGGCCCTCTAAAATTGACTTACAATGGGCAAGAGATGATTTTCTCTCCCTACAACGACTACTGGAGAGAAATTAGAAAAATCTTGGTGGTCCATTTCTTCAGCTCCAAACGGATCTCCACCTTCTCCAATGTGAGAAAATCGGAGGTCAAGCAAATGGTGGAGATTGTATCTGGCCACGTTCGTTATTCCAAAGTAACCAACTTGAGTGAAGTCCTAATGTCGATCACAAGCGGTATTACTTGTAGGATTGCATTTGGGAGGAAGTACGATGGGGAAGGAGCTGAGAGAAGCAGGTTCCATGGGATGCTCAATGACTCACAGGCTATGTTGCTTTCCTTTTTTGTCTCAGATTACATTCCCTTCTTGGGGTGGATTGATAAACTCACCGGCATGCTTGGCCGTCTTGAAAAAACTTTCAAGGCCCTGGATGTGTTCTTCCAAGAAGTCGTTGACGACCACCTCGATCCTAATAGGGTCAAACAAAATGAAGAGGATGATGATATTGTTGATGTGTTGCTTGAGCTTAAGAAGCAGGGTCGCTTGGCAATAGATCTCACCCATGATCAAATCAAAGCTATCATCTTGGTATGTGCCCATGCTTTTCCATTTGCAACTGCTAAATCGTAAGTACTTGGTCTTTAACTAAGCTCAGTGGCACCGAAGTCAATGTAGTAAGTGGATTATTTTAAATCAAATGTTCAGAACCTCAGAAATCACTCCAGCTGAAACTTTTAGGGCACCTAGATGGATTCAGTTAGACAAACACAGTTACGGATGAATTCAGCTATAGCTGCTTGAAGTTTTATATAGATTAAATCAGTTACATCATCTAGAAAATGAATTATTTCTGTCTACCACGCCTTCACTAATTCAAGCCTTTTCTATTGATCGCATGAACATATTACTAGCTCACATATGGAAACCATGGACCCAAAATAATGAGGTAAAAAATAAGAATTATATTCTTACGGTTCCTATCTCATGTCACAAGAAATTATGGATTCTCGAAAAACACTCCTTTAGCTTCCACGGTGTGTGTGACATAGTGACATGTTTTAAATGAAACACGAGGAAGATTATTCAAAGTTAAATTATGAATAATTTTTTTTTTCTGATATCGGTTCATCCTTTACTGTCACAGGACATACTAGTAGCAGGTACCGACACAACGGCAGCTACATCCGTGTGGGCGATGACTGGATTGATGAAGAACCCAAGAGCAATGGCAAAAGCCCAAGAGGAAATTAGAAATGTGTGTGGCAAGAAGGAGTTCATAGAGGAAGAGGATGTTGCAAAGCTTATGTATCTGCAGGCAGTGATTAAAGAAACTCTAAGGTTTTATGCGCCAGCACCACTGATACCAAGAGAAGCCATTAGAAGTTTCACAGTAGAAGGATATGAAATAGAACCCAAGACAATAGTATATGTGAATAGTTGGGCCATTCAGAGAGACCCTGAAGTTTGGAAAGACCCAGAAGAGTTTCGGCCAGAGAGGTTCTTGAACAATGAGATAGATTTTAAGGGACAAGATTTTGAATTTATTCCGTTCGGTGCAGGGCGTAGAATTTGTCCTGGCGTGTCACTGGGAATGGCAACGGTGGAGCTCATAACTGCAAATCTTCTTAACTCATTCAACTGGGAAATGCCCCAAGGGATGAAACCTGAACACATAGACACAGAGGGGTTGCCAGGACTTGCGCGACACAAGAAGAACCATCTCGTACTTGTTGCCAACAAACCTATGTGAGTGTAATAACTAATTAAGGGCTATGATTCCCATCTTGGTTTTAATGTTTTCGTGCCTGTACCAGAAATTAATATCGATGAATTGCAAATTATCACTCCCGTCGTATTCTAGCACCGTTCACCGTTAATGTCGATGCACCAAAACCATACGCCTCTTTGTTTTATGTTTACGTTATTGTCTTCTAAGAAGTAAGAGAACTAAAACAATACAGAATAGATGAAAATAAAAAATAATAGTTTTTTGATAAAATGTTTAGATATTATTAAATAATTGTTAAGATATTTCTTTTGGAATTCATTAATCGATTCATATTCACAAATAGTAGAAAGTGAATTTTTGGTTGAAATTTTTGTACAAAACAGTCAATTTTTCTATTTTAAATAACACTTGAAAGTATAAAAATGTTATTGTATAAATAATCATATTAAAAAAAGCCTTTTTAAATGTGGATAATTTTTATGTCAATAAAAAATCAAAACAGAAAATAATTATTTTTATTAATTATTATCTTTGATATATGGGTTATTATTTTAATTATAATATTTCAAAATAAAAACTAAATTATATGTTATTTATATAAGATTAAGTATTTAGAAATAACATCCACCACGTATATATATATATATATATATATATATATATATATATATATATATATATATATATTATATAAATAAATTTAAACAAGTTAAAATAAAATAAATTTTTGCTACATATTTCTTCATCAGTTTATTGTTAAGATTATTTGTAATGTCATTTGCTTCTAACATGATATATGACAACATAATCATATCAACAGAAAATAACATTCCACATAAAAATTAAGGGAATATCATATTATTTTTCACAATCATTTCGTATTCTATATCATAAATCTATAAAAATTATGCAGGATATAATAATTAATTATTTAAATATGAGTGTATGTGATAAAAATATTTAGTCCGAATAATTATTAAACTACTAAACTTCTTCAAAAACTTAATAAAATTCTCTTTCAAGAAAGGATGAAAGACTACAAACATATTAATCCCATTTGTAACTAAAAAACATCAAGACAAGTAATATGCAAGTTCAATTATCATTTTATTTAAAGGTACCAAAAATAAAGTGTTAAAGATTCTATTTATAAATGCATTGCATTTTAATAAGAGTAATTAAGAATCTCAAATCTTTTAGTGCCTCATTTTGACCAATTTCAAGTGATGTGAAATTTGTATGTTATATTTATTTTTCTCATTATTTAGTTGAAAATTTGAGTATGTTTTTCCATAGAATCGGCCTTAGGACCCAATTATAGCCCATATGTACTTTTACAAAATTATATAATTTTTAAGAGAAAATATAGTCTTATATAATTTTTACAAGACTAAAAAGAAAGAAGATTTTTCTAACAAACTATGTTTTAAAGTAAGAGAGTTTTCTTCTTTGATGATGTTTCTTCTCTATTCTCCTAGCCATGGACCTTCTCAAGAACCCAATGTGTTACTCCTCATATGGTCCTCCATCACTATAAGATGTATCTCATGCCACCATACATTAACATACATACCATAGAGACTTGATCATATTTCTAAAAGATACATGTGTTGAATTCGACTCATGAATCTACACTTATCATATTATCTTTTTTAAGTGGATATATCCAACATAGAAATATAATCGAATCAATTTATTTTGCGTGACAAGGTTAATCCCTATGACTTACATGACATATTCTTTTTCACACATAAGTTATGTTATGGAAATCTCTTCTAAATCTCACCACCTAATATCTTCCTATATGTGAGTCAAGTATTAATAGAATCAGGATATCTCATTCAAAATTTCAAATTCAATACATCACCTATATCTCAACATAGTTCTTCTTTGAAAACCACTCTATTTACTTTCACAACACGCCACATGTATAACTTACATCCAATCACATAAATAAAGTCTAATGTCATTCATGCTTACTATTATTTATTTCAATCAAATAGACAAATGTTATACAATTAACAAAAAGATAAAATCATTAAAAAGAAACAATTTTTTTTTTCTGAAAGTTCATATTTTTCATTATAGATTTTTGCTTGAGCAAACTATCTTCGTTAGAGTGAGATTTCTTTCTAATTTTTTTCATTTTTCTTTGGAATGTTCTCGTGGAGTGAAGATTTTATTGCATAAGAAGATTCTTTCACTTGAGTGACCAATATCTTGCTTGAACAAGAACATAATAGAGATAAATGAAGTCACTGGAGTATTATTGTTTGAGTGAGAATGAACTTGAGACCAACCTCCAAATTTGGAGGCCTAATCACGCAGACAAATAACAACCTCTGCCTAATTCCTTGGTAAGTCCCTAAACCTCAATTCAAATCAATCACCCATCCTTACATAAATCTAGTGACAAATTTACTACACACATTCATACTATCAATCCTAATAATATATTAGGGAGTAAAGTTACTATGCTCCTTACCTTATATTGAGTTATTTCAAGTGGATATAGTCTCAAAATTCCTAAATTGCACCGAAAATTCGCAGGATCTTTAATTCTATCCCCAAAGGATCCCACATCCACAAAGTAAACATTATACGAGGATTCTAGATTCGTAAAGTCATATTTCCATGATTTTTACTCACTAGATTATTGACTATATTCCCAGTACCAACATCTTGTCTTTCATTACTTTGATTCAAATGTATTATATTGGACACTGACGCAGAATGAAGTGTAGAATTTTGTATATTTTGACTTGTGCCACTACTCAATCTCAAACATTATTCTCATACAAATTTCTCTAAAACTAGTCAAATTTGGATTGTTCCCAACAGACTACTAATTTTTTATATGAATCGTCAATATCCCATCGGGCATGGTAAATTAATTCTGGTGTAAATTGATTTGATTTTAATGTTCAATTTTTTAGGTGTACCACTTTTTTCAAGATGAATTAATTCTCCAAGATGAACCACTTTATCACCTGTGGATTTTCTTTCTTTAAACTAACAAGTCAAAACTTTTAAATTTAAAGAATTCTTCCAATTAAGATTTGACTATGATCAATTAGTTCTTGATTATAATTTTTTTATTTTCAATATCAACCTAAACGTTAGAGTATGAGAAAAGTAAACGTGCAAGAAATGTAAACGTGGAAAGTAAATGTACAGGAATTGTAGAGGACTAGAAATGTAAATGTGGAGAATTGTAAATTTAATCAATTACCAAGGATAAAAAAAGAAACTGATAAAGAAATCTAATAAAAGTGTTGATCCAAATTGCCAAGAACTTCATTAATATAACTTGTTCTTATTCACAATGTCTTTTCAAAATGTGAGTGTCTTCTAACAATTTGTCACCCTTAATTACACTTATTTTATCCTATTTATATTTTATTTTGTAACTATTAAGGAAATAAAATAAAATACAAACAAAACGATTTCCTTCCTATCAATCGTTTTCTCACCTTTCTCAAACGGTTCATTATCATATAGCAATTTTACCCGTTTATGTCACGTAGTTATTGTTGGGAATATTACTTTATTATCTTTTATTTAAATTAAAATTATGTATTAAGAAATTTTATTATCTTTTAAGAGAGAAGGTAAAAAGATATTAGGTTATTATTTTGATTTAGGTAGTTATGATTGAGATATTATTGATATTTGATATTTTGTAATATTTTTAGTCTATATATATAGAGTACTGAATAGAAATATACCTACATGATATATTAGAAATACACATACACAAAACCCTAAAAAATTCTCAACAATGGTATTAGAGCTTTGGTTCGATACAATGGAAGGAGAAAGAAACTTTTCACAAGTCACTATTCTAATTTTTGATGGCGAAAGTTATGACTTATGGGCTGTGAGAATGCAATCCTATCTTGAAGGATTGAATGTATGAGAAGTTGTAGAAGAATATTATATTGTTGATCCGTTACCTGAAAATCCCACCATAGCTCAAATGAAATCTCACAGAGAAAGAAAAACGAGGAAGACAAAAGTTAAATCATGTCTGTTCGCTGGTGTTTCACAAATGATCCTCACCAGAATCATGACGCTAAAGTCACCAAAAGAAATTTGAGATTATTTGAAAGATCAATATGAAAAGGATGAGAAATTTCAAGGTATGAAAGTTTTAAACTTGATCAAAAAATTTGAGATACAAAAGATGCAAGAGTCTGAGACAATTAATGAATACTCAAACAAATTGTTGGATATTGCTAACAAAATAAAAATGTTAGGTAAGGAATTTTCTGATTCCAGAATAGTAGATAAAATTCTGGTAACTGTTCCAGAAAGATATGAAGCATCTATTGCTTCATTGGAAAATACAAAGAATTTGTCTAATATTATTTTGGCAGAAGTGCTACATGCTTTACAAGCACAAGAGTAACGAAGATTGATAAGATGAGATCATGCTACTGGTGAAGGTTCTTTACTATATCATGATAGAGGTTCTCTTCAAGCCAAGAACAACAAAGGTTAAACCTTTTTCAGAGCCAAACCATTTTCAGAGCCATAATCTGATTCCTACTATCAGAGCCAAACCATTTTCAGAAGGGGGTATGATAGTAGGAATTATGAGTGGAAAGTGAGTAAGAGAAATCTTTAAACCATGAATAGCCAAACACCACCACCAGAGTCCGGTCCCGTTAGTCCCGTTGGTCCCGTTCTTTTAAATTCAACTCTTTCTCTTCCCGAAAATATTTCAAAAACTCTTTCCTCTAAAATAGAACATCTTATAGAATATTCCTATATTCCAGAAGATGCTCAGATCTCTGAGACATACAGTCCTCTCCTTAGTCCTTATAATATTTTCAAAAGACAACGATCTACTCTTAAATCCATTACCCGTTTGATTCATACCAGAAGACCTCCTGTTAAGGAGTACGTTCAAGCCTCCAGAATGGATCAGTGCACCTTAGCATCCACTGCTGAAGAGCAATATGTAAGTATTGAGATTCCTAAAGAAGCTATTAGGCACTGGCAAACTGAAGGATACA